GACTTATTCGGGCAGGAGCACACTAGGAGCGAACCGGATAAAGTGACTATATAGCTCGCTAATATAACGGATCTCTAACCCAAAGGAAAAGGCCCCCACTTCTAGTCACAGTACACCTCTGCCGGGATGTAAAAGGTTAGCGCAATGAATTTGCAGGGGTGGCGACCATGGTGGCGCCGGCTGAGCCGGGTAACCAATGGTAAGGTAGAAATAGATCTTCTAATAATTTTTATAGTAAAATACCTTAGTATATAACTTTGGGACTTTTAAGGACCTAGGATTTAATGCAGTATCATTACGCTTCTTTCTTATTACAATTATAGAAATTATAATAATAATAATTTTAGAACCTCCTTCTATTCTGAAGAAGAAAGCTATTTATTTAACTAGGGATGAACGAGTTTCTATTTGCTCCCTCCGAACTTATATTAATTTATTTTACCTCGAAATTTCTGTAAAAACCGGCTTTACTTTCCGTTAAGTCTAAAAAACTTATATTGGGCCTTTTATTTTCTAAAAGAGAAAGTTTAAGAAAAGTCTTTTTAGTATTCCTTAAAAAAATACCCTAAGAGAATAATTGAAGTTAGATCGGAGTTACTGTTTTATTTTTTAGAGTAACCTCCGTATTGTCTTCCCCCCTTTATTCTCTATTAGAAAGGTAGTATTAAGAAAGGCGCTTTATTTATTTGGTTTTGAAAGAAAAGTAAGAAGAAAGAGAATAAGGAGGATTAATATTAATAAAAAAGAAAGAGTTAATTAGTATTAAGAAATAAGGTATTGGCGGTTGCTACTATAAAATTAGGAAGGAATTTTCGTCTCTAATGAGATTTGGGTAATTAATAATCCGATGTGGAAATAATGGGTTACTTTAGATAGCGATGACGATCCTAATAACTTCTCTTTAGTTAAGAGAAAGTTTTACAGATAGATGTTTTGGGGATCCTTTATTGGAGGAAAGAAAGGGCCTTATTTCCTTTGGGAGAAAGAGTTTGGAGGTATTATTATTTAAAAGTATATTTTTTTTATTTTCCTAATAGTTATTACCTTTACCCGGGAATACTTAAAAGCCGGTATTATTTTTTAGTAAAATAATATTCCTTTTTATAAGGCTAAAATTATTTAAAGAATTATTGAAGGGATAGGAATTAATTTTTTAAATGAAAAAAGGTTCTTTACTTACTCTCCGGATTTAGTACTAATTGAGAACGTTTAGCTATAGATTAAATTACTCGTAGAATTGAAATACGATATTTAATTATTAATACTAAAGAAGTTTAGGGAGGCTATAATATAGGCCTAGGATGATATTCCGGAAGAATTTCTTTTAAAGTTAACCTATTTAATACTAGAGAGGTTGAGAAAAGTAATAGAAAATGGAGGAGAATTTATTGATTATTAGTACAATAAATGGCTATTTTTATTCCTTATAACCCTGGTTTTCTGTATAGTTTAGTGCCTTGGCTGTAGTACGCTAACCTTTTATATCCCGGCAGAGGTGTATAGGTGGATATCAACCACACTCAAATTTTACAAGGAATAACATAGTACAATTCTCATATTAGAAATTACGTCGGGTCTCACGTACCTTACTATATCGCGTACTATATTACCGTCGTAATATAGATTTTTAGTATTTATTATTCAATTACCCTTATATCCTACCTAATATACCCTCTACCGCGTACCCTAATATTTCGAGCTTCGCCGCTATTATTAATCTTATTAGTAATAATATACCTACTGTAACAACCGCGATAATTATTATTAAATTTAGTACCCCCGCCGCTAATAATTCTAATAAATTTAATAAGGATTCTAGCGCAAAGGAGTTGGAGGAGGAGGATAAGGGAAACGAAACTCCGTTGTATATTTATCGACTCTAATTGCAAAAGTAGCCTAATTTCGATAATTTTTTTCGTAGTATTAATAATATAGTTAAGGAGAAAGGTTTTTATATTATAAAGATCTATAGTAGTAATTTCAATAAGGACCGTAATCTAAAGTAGTATAACCTTATTTATAGTAAGGGTAAAAATTACTACTCTAATTACAAACTTACTAATTAGTATATTAATTTAAAATTATTAAAGAAGGGGTATAAGTAAAAAGTAAAAATAGTTCTCTATTAAAATCCTAAAAATATAATTAAGAGTAATAAAGACCTCTAGAAGAGGGGGGTTTAGTAATTCATTTATAATTAATATTTCTATTTCTATAATTTCAACCCTTCAACCGCTACCTACTTACTTAATTATTATTAATTTACCCGTATTACTCCTATAATCAAAAGCGTATTAAAATATACAAAATAGCCTAAAAATACATTTAGAGATATTATTACCGCGATCCAAACCGACTACCCAAATACTAAAATTAAAAATCGCAATATTTTGAACATACTTACCACAGCCAAAATTGAAAAAGTAAGGGCTTTTATACTAATTTAATAATTCTTATATATTTTTTAAAATAACCTTACAATCGTATACCAACTTCATTGAAAGGGAAATAGTAAACTTAAGGGTATAAAAAATTTTAAAAATAATAGAAATAAAAAGCCTAATCATTCCTCTAATAATATAAGTAATAATTTTATTAATCGTATATTCTAAACTTATAACTAATATATTAATTAGTAAAAGAAGAATCCAGAAGTATAGTCTTTAGACTATACTTATAAAATTAACTAATTTAATATACTATTATTATAAATTAACAGTTTAATAACTATATATACTATATTTAATATCGGTTATTATTTATTAAGTAATCAAAAAGAGGAATTTTTTATCTAGGTTTTTTAAGTATTCGAACGTTTATTTACTAATAAAAATATCGACCGCCCGCAAATAATTATTACCGACTACAATTGTATATTTAAACGTACCGCCCGCAAAATCTTCAACTATAGTACCCAATACCAAATTTACCTATAGTATATTATAAAGAATATTGTATTCAATGTTAAAAAAAAATAAATTAGAACGTTTAATAAAATTACTTTTAATAAAAAAAATAGTAACGGCAACTATTTAAAAGTAAATAACGAACGGTTCAATAATAAGATTAATAAGGTTACAATAATTAATTTTATTAATCCCACTAATAATAACAATTATACCCATCAAATCAATATTAAACTTCTTTTAATAAAAGATCGATAGTAATACTTAAATAAAATAACTTATAATACTCTTAGTAATTAATTTAACGCGCGCGCCCCCGCTAATTCTAATAGAGAGTAATTTAATAATACGAACAGAATTCTGACTATATAAATAATTATTATTTATTTTAATACCGAACCCGATTTTTTTCAATATTAATAAATATTAATAATCGAATTTCCTACCTAAAAGCGTAAATTTTTATCCCCGTAAATTTCCTAACGCCGGTATTAACTATCTCTTATAATTATTATCAAATATTTATTTAAAATTTACCTACCTATCTATTATAAATTTGTGTAATTCTATATTAAATTGTACTGCAATTTTAGAATCTATATTACGTCCCGTATTGAGAGCGTTCACAGTATCCTCAAAAAACTACTCAAAAATCGCCTTATTAATCTTAATATTTTACTAAGTGTTATTAAGGGTAATTTCTTGCAATTAAAGGAGAAATTTACTACACATTACATTAAAGAGATTTCTAAGAATATACGTAAATTTAATACTGTTATACTAAAGAAATTATAATATTTAGTAAGTTTTATTACTTTCGAATTAATTTTATAATAAATTGAATTTATAGAGTTGTAAATAAAAGTGTACTTACTGTACGAGCGCCCCGTCTATACTGGTCGATTTTGTAAGTAGTATAGACTCCCTTATTAGTACCAAATTTGTATTCTACTCCTAGGTAATGTATAGTTAAATTTATAGTATATCGATTTATATTGGTAGTTTAAATCTAACGTTATAAATTTCTTATTTATCCTCGTCCCTCGATTATTTATTAACGAAAATATATTAAATTAACTAGTATTAGCTACTCTCTATAAAATTCCTAACTTTAATTAATAAAAAAGACCCGGATAAAATTGTAATCCGTTAAAATAATAATAATATATTAATTATTAATAGCCCTTAACCTATCCTTTAGAATATTTACTCTAAAAATCTCCTACTGTAAATATAAAATAATAATAATATTTACTATAACTCAATTTATAATATCCTACAATTATTACCGCCCAAAAAATAACGGCTTATATTAACCTAAATTATACAATAGTAATTATAATAGATTAATAATTTTATAGATATAGTTAATATACTAGTAATAATAATTAGGAGATAATAGCCGGCGAATTAATTACCGGCGCCGGCGTTAGTAATAATTATAATACCCTCAATACCGTAGCGAGGGGGTAACGGAAACGCGCCTCCAATACCCTTATAGGGAGCCGCTAGGTAGTAGAGAGAGGGAATTATATAATTTTAATAATACTTATATTTTTATATGTAATAATATACTATACTATTTAAGCGACTCGAGTGTTTTATAATTATAGTATTTATAATTTAAGACTTTACATAAGAATCCCATACAAATATTGTACCTATATCATTTTGGTGGAGATTACAGTGTGGCTGACATTCACATGACATATAGGACCAGAAAGTAGGACTATAGCTGGGCCTTCTCCTTCGGGTTAGAGATCCGTCACATTAGCGAGCCATACAGTCACTTTATCCGGTTCGACTAGGAGGGCACTCCAAGACCGGAAAAGGAAAGGCAAAGTCACTCGGATCTCCAACAGCACCCTTTCAGTTAGCGCAGCGCCTAAACCATCTGGTATCGAAACCGACAATGGTGCACGAGCCTCCGGCTGGGTCTATGTGGTTAGGTAATAAGAGTGGCTACCTCTAGGTACCTCTGCCCTCGGGACAGGGAAAGGACGCAAGAAAGAGAGACGGGCACCGTCATCGCCTCACTAAGGTACTTGCAGTCCCGGCAGGCAATGCTGCACGTCGACTGCCACACTGCGTAGCTTCAAGTGTCCCACCTGTCTGTCCCACCTCCAAGAGTACCATGGTGGTCACGCCTCCGTCTTGACCCCATCTTCCCGTCTGCGTCGCCCCTCCTTCACCTACCTATTCTTCCAAGTGCAAGTGAGAACACCAGATGACAACGCGGACCCCCTAGCAAGCACACCCATACCTCTACCGTATCTTTGTCGTGCATCCACACGCTTCCATCGAAGTCCTGCATCATTCTAGTCGCCCCGTCTTCGACGTTCTGCGGCCATCACAAGCGAACGACAGCCAGCAGAACCCTGCGAGACTAGCACCCCGGGTGATCGATCCATTGTGATAACGGCCTCGAGAAGAGCCAGCGATTGAGCGCATAGCAAAGAGCCCGACTTTGAACTGCAGCCATGAATCCCCACCAGGCAAAGAAGGTTGATATTCAGGTAGGTTGGCATCATCCGTCAGCGCAGCAACAACTCCATCAGACCACTTCAGCCGGCCGCCATCAGGCTCGGAAAAAGACACGACCCAACTGCGATACCATCAACCGACACCATGAAGCATTGCGGGCCCCCAGCACAACACAACAACTCGCAACACTCGCGCCATGATAGCGACGCTGACGGTTCGCCAAATTTTACAGTCGCTCTCCCCTGAGGAACAACGCCTGTTCCGTCTGTACGGCAAGCTGCCCAGCCGCAGCGACCATTTCGCCAAGCATCTCAAGGAGCGCAAGTACTTTGATAGCGGCGACTATGCCATGAGCAAGGCTGGCAAGGGCGACGGTGTTGACACGGGCTCAGTAGGCAGCCAGCACCCCGTCCCCGAGAACATTCCCCATTTGACGAACCCTTGCGGTGCTATCAACGGTGCCAGCGGCCTGGCGCAAGCTCATCACATTGTTCATCAGCACAGCAACATGGGTCCTCAAGCCGGCAGCCCTGTCAAGGAAAGCAGTTACTTTAGCCGCGGGCTGAGTGCCGAGGAAATCGACGCTCTTAACAACAACGAACACAATGCGGAGGCCAGAGAACAGCAAGAGCAAGCCACCGCAGACACCATCTCAGCTGCGCCTGCTGATCAGCAAGAGCCCATCCCTATCCGACAATAAACCATCCAGAGAAACAGGCTCATGGCGTTCAACGGAGGTTCCGCCTCCTCGAAACCATTTGTCGAGCATCTCGTTCTGCCGTGTAACCAAGAACACTCACCAGCACACGGCAATTAAGCAGTCACGCATAGCATGAGCATGAGATCACGTCTTGGGGTTTGTGGCGTTGGGTTTGACGTTATTCAGTATAAGATTTTTTTGTTTGAATGAGATATGAATGGGTTAGGGTTTTGTGATCTATGTTTTGAGTGGTTTGGTCGAGTTGGGTCTGTCCTTTAGCATGACAGCGCGTGCTGCTCTGAAGTCCATCTTCAATGTCTATGTTGTCTATGTTCATAACGGCACAGATGGGATCGATCGCAGTGCTCAGACGGCACGTCATGAAGCCGGTCAACGTCGTGAACAAGAACAAATATGTTTTACAAATATGTTTTCAGGATATGGACTGATAGTGCTAAACGTGAAGACGGTGATACTTTTTTCTGCCTTAAAACAGCGGGAGGAGTATCAAGTCGAGTTCTTTTTCAACGAACGCCTACGAGCTTGCCAATCTTCATAGCAGCGCTGGATTCCTACTCCAAGGCCTTCTTCGCCATGGCCAACGCACCATCGAAGGTCTTGTTGCCTCCAATGAAACCTGCCGCATGAACGAAAACGCCGCCCTGGATTTGCGTGATCTCATCGAGCTTCTCATCGCGGAAGCCTCTCCAAGCCTCGGGCAGGGGCTTGCGGCTCTGGAAGGAGTCGCCAGTCTCAGGCACGCACTGCACTCTCCACTTGGCGTCGGGTGTAGGCTTCTCGGGGTACAGGACATAGAGAACCTTCTGGACGCGCTCTCCCTCTTCCTCTTCCAGGGTGTAAAGATGATCCTTCCAAGGGGCCGACTGACCCTTTAAGACAAGGATTCTACCCTCTGCATCGTACTCTTTGCGGGCCTTGTAGGCCGTCTCGACGACATCCCTGGCCGGGAGCCAAGCCTTGGTGTAGTAGTCGAGAGCGCGGTCGAACTCCTCACCGATACGCTGACTGGCCTGCTCGAACCTGCCATCTTCCTCCTCCTGGGCAGCCACAGGGTCCGAGGGGACGGGATCGTTCCAGTTGCCATTGAAGCGGCCGACCATGGCACCGAGGGTGAAACCGCCGTTGGAGAAGCGCTTCTCAATGCCGGCAGCCTTGAGAGCATCGGAATCGTAGACGCTGATGCCGTTGTCGTGAGCGTCGAGGGCCTCGACGAAGCTGTCGTACAACTTGTTCCAGATCAAGCCAACCTTGTCGTTGTCCTCCGCAGGGGCGTCGGGCAGGCTGCGCGAGATGATACCCTTGCCAAAGTGCATGTAGACGAGACCGGCGCTGCTGAGCTTTGTCTGGTGGTCGGGGAAGGTTGTGGTGAAGGTGCGCTGGTGGTGGTCGTAGCGGTCACGGGCGGGCTCGTACTCGCCACCAACATCGACGACGATGTCGCAGGTCTCAAGTAGCGCAGGGTCGCGGGTGCGAACCAGGCGGGCGCCGGTGTATTTGGGAACATGCTGGCGAAGCATGTGGACGGCCAGAGCCTCGTCGGCGTGGAAGTGGCCGTTGTGGGTGCCGATGGTCAGGGCACCGCCATCGGTCTTGATGCGCTTCGCTGCGTTTTCGGCCATTGTTCTGAGAAATGCTAGTGGACGAGTGAACATGAACCCTTTGGAAGAGAATTTCGGTGTCAAGCGGTGGAAGGTAGGGTTCGTTTTGGAAGAATGGAAGGAATCTTATTTCCCACGCCCCTCTTCTCCCCCACTGACAACCAACAACAGCCCGACTTGTACACAGCAGCTCCATTATCTGATACTTTCACTAGTGTACGTACCTACTTCTACACCAGCGCGCTATCGATTAGATTGTGGATAGCCCCTGGCCTATATTTTCCTGTACAGGGGCATGGCAGCCCGGCTAGGTAGGTAGCCTTACAGGCGAGCAAAGAGTGCAGCCAACCGTCTCTACATTGTCACTATGGATCGCATTCTGTTAGTGTTGAGCATGTACATCGCAGCGTGTCAGCAGACAGTTTCGCCTCAATCTACCGCGCGTCCATTCCCAGTGACATGATTGTAAAGGGAGGCTATACGCACTGATCCGCATCCCGGCAGGCACGAAGCTGAAGATGCCAAGAGGACGCTAGGGTTTTTCAAGCTTTTTGTTACGCGAGAACGGAAGGGTAAATACTCTCGCGGCGAAGGTACCTCTACACTAACAGCATCCTTGAGTGCAGTGTACCAAGCGGTGCAGGCAACACTAGCATGGCACTACACGCGATCCAACAAACAAGCCGCAACCTTCGCTGGAACCGGCCATCTACTCAGGTTGCAAAACAACATTTTCCCTTCGTCATTGATTCACCAAACCATCAGCTCGACACCGCGCCACGATTTATTCCGAAACCCAACTTCCACGCACCACCCTTTCCATTCTCACGACGTGCATCGGTAGACGATTACAAGCCGCAACCAAGCAGTCAATTTCCCGATCCCAGCCATCCCTCTTTTCTCCAAAATGGAGGTCGACCCGCGCGGCCGCACTGAGTTGAGCCACAGGGGAGGCGACGATGATTCTATCGACACAAGGATGGCTGACGACAAACCGACCTATCGGTCGTGGAAGAAGAAGTATCGCAAGATGCGTATAACCTTTGATCAGAAGATGCATGAAGGCGAGGAGCTGTACAAAGCCGAGCAAAAGGCCCTAGCAACCGCCCGGCGACTAGCCATTCAGAAGGAGTAGGATTATCGAACTCTCCATCGACCTTGTCGGCATCCTCTGCTAACCTCGCATGTCTAATTTGCAGCCGTCTTCTTGATCTCCTTCTCGACGTCAACAATTCCAACCAGATCCCACCAGAGAAGCGCTTCGATTTGAGCGTCAAGGCACCTTCCAATAAAGAAGGTCTATACCTGGACATCGACAGGCCTTCCACGCCTCCGGGCGGCATCCGGCCCTCGAAATCCTACAAGGAACTCCTCCAAGATGTGCCGCACATGCGGTTTTCCCAAGCGGCCGAGTGCTTTCCGGAGCTCCTCCGCGACCTCGAAGCCGGCCGCGACTCGCCAGCCGATCCGTTCCAGGGACAACCCCACCCGCCTTCGTTTCTCACGGCGGACGATATCGATAACTACATTTGGGAGATTGACCAACGACTGGCGAGAAAAGAGGCCACCGAGACTGGTGTGTCGCCTCCTCCGGCCTTGCCTACCCTCGCACCGATTGCCCAGCCGAACAGCGCCGCCACCAACGCGAAGGAGAGTGGTCTGCTCGCCTCCCGGGACTTCCAGCTACGCAACCCGACATCTGTCTACAACTGGCTGCGGAAACATGCGCCCAAGACATTTCTACAAGATACAGAGGCCCACGGGGATGACAACGACCACGGTGAGTCTCGCGGCACCACCTCAGGTCGCGGCGGACGGGCTAAAGGCGAGCGTGGCGGTACGTCAGGGGGCCGTGGTGGTCGGGGCGACTCGAACTTGGCTCGTACAAAGAGGGGCGGCGCCAAGTCCGCCGCTGTTGTCGTTGAGGCGCCCGAATACTTGGACGAAGATAACAACTTGGAGGCGGCGGTGACACCGAGCACAACAAAAGGCAAGCGAAAGCGGGTTGTGGACGATGATCCGGGCTACAGGCCCAAGGGTGGGTCAAGTCGGCCGACCAAGAAGAAGCGTAAGAGCGAAGGCGGCGGCGGGGAGGCTACGCCTACATCGGGTACTAAAAGGCCGCGAAAGACCGCCGGAGCCAGTGTTGAAGCCTCAAAAGCCAATGATTAGTGGGTGAGACAGGACGCCGTGATGGCATATCGTGAGAGAGGGTGGGTGTTTGAATAATAGCAGTGACACCTAACGTCCTTCAGCGGGTTCTTCGTATATTTGTTTACGGGCGCTCGGCTAGTTGTGGCGTTCAAGTTCTCACCACGCGCTTTTTGGCAGTGGTTCACCAAGAACAATCGGGAATGCATGTGCATGTGCATGTATTTTAAGATGGGGTAAATCGGGAATAGATTTCGGGTACGAGGATTACTTATCATTCATACACACTTCGGCTTTTCAGCAGTGTTCCATGTTTCTAGTCTTCGAATGGGTCCTCATCCAGCATCCGTCCACCAGGGACCAAGGATACATGAACGATTCTCGTCTGTCAGATTTCATGGCTTGAAGTGATGCAAGTTCAGTCAGAGTGGGCGGGTTTGCTTTATTGTCGACCATAGAAAATAGTGGTGCTGTTTGTATGCGTAGCCAACGTTTAAAACTAGAAATAGCGCCCTACAAGAAAAGTGTAGCTGATCTACTGATTCGAAAAGCCGGGACAAAACAAATACCGGAACGTTGGAGAACACCAAGTAAACAGAGAATACGTAAGTAAATAAAAGATACGTTTTTGTTTGAAGGGTATTTTACTCTTTGATTTTGTTCATAAAGATGCTGTAAGCCTATGTACAAGATGCCCGCCGATTTCCAAGAACTCCGAAATGGATGGTACAGCAATGACAATGCCAGCAAATTATACCGATGACTCCTTGCCTTGATCCCTGTTGTTGGTGGGGTGTAAAAGACGCAAGACGCAAGGCGCAAATGCAATGAATGCACTTTAATGCGTAAACCAAAAGATGATAGCCAGGACGATGCTGTTTTCGTCTTTACTTTTCATTCCCCTGTTCCGTGCATCTCCTTTCGCCTGCGGGTGCAGCAGAACTAGACCGTTTACCCGGCCCACCGGGGCAGCTGATCCAACCGTCATCTCACGTCCGACTTGTTCCATTCCTTTTTGGAGAGGTGTTTGAGAGTGCCTCAGGGTAGTGTGGCTTAGAGCTTCTCCTTGAGAGTGCTCTTGAGGCGGCGCTCGACGGCAGCCATGTACTCGGAGGTGGTGACCCAATCCTCACGGCCGGTCTTGCCGCAGGCAAGCGCGAGATCCTTGGTCATGATGCCATCGATATCGACGGTGTCAATGCAGGCCTTCTCGAGAGCCTCAGCGAAAGCAATGAGCTCGGGAGTGTTGTCGAGCTTGCCACGCTGGACAAGACCACGGGTCCAGGCGAAGATGGAGGCAATGGGGTTGGTGGAGGTCTGGTTACCCTTCTGGTGCTCGCGGTAGTGGCGAGTGACGGTACCGTGGGCAGCCTCGGACTCGAAGGTCTTACCATCGGGGGTGATGAGGACAGAGGTCATGAGACCGAGGGAGCCGAAGCCTTGAGCAACGATATCGGACTGGACATCACCATCATAGTCTGTGAAGAGGGATTTTGGGTTAGAGTTTGCTTCTCCAACCGGTTGTTGCGGGAATTCAGAGACTTACTCTTGAGGGCCATGATGTAGCCACCGGAGCTCTTAATCATCTGGGCGACCATGTCGTCGATGAGACGGTGCTCGTACCAAATCTTCTTGGCCTCGAAAGCCTCCTTGTACTGGGTGTCGTAGATCTGCTGGAAGATATCCTTGAAGCGGCCATCGTACTTCTTGAGGATGGTGTTCTTGGTGCTCATGTAGAGGGGAAGACCCTTGTCAAGAGCGAGCTTGAAGGAAGCGTGGGCGAAGCCCTCGATGGACTCATCAGTGTTGTACTGGGTCTGAGCAACACCGCCGCCGTTCTTGTAGTCGAAGACGTCGATGACCTGGGGCTCACCACCCTCGGGGGTGTAGACCATCTGGAGCTTACCGGGGCCGGGAGCGACGAGGTCCTTGGCGCGGTACTGGTCACCAAAGGCGTGGCGGCCAATAATGATGGGCTTCTTCCAGCCGGGCACCAGGCGAGGGACGCGGGGAATGACGATGGGCTCACGGAAAACAGTGCCACCGAGAGCATTGCGGATGGTGCCGTTGGGGGACAGCCACACTAACGAGCACAAATCATGTTAGCCAATGCGTCGATATGCGCCGTGCAGCGCTTCGCTTTCTGCGTGGAATTCTCCAAGATGGAAAACAAAACTTACTCTGCTTGAGCTTGAACTCCTCTACACGAGCCTCATCGGGAGTGATGGTAGCGCACTTAACACCGACGGAGTACTTCTTGATGGCCTCGGCGGCATCAACAGTGACCTGGTCGTTGGTCTGGTCACGGTACTCGAGACCCAAGTCATAGTACTTGAGGTCGATGTCAAGGAAGGGGTAGATGAACTTCTCCTTGATGTCCTGCCAGATGATGCGGGTCATCTCATCGCCATCGAGCTCGACGACGGGGTTCTTGACCTTGATCTTCTGGAAAGCCTCGGAAGCCATTGTGCGGAATCTGTTATTGGAGACGAAGAGGGAAGGGGCAGCAGGGCGAGTAAGGGCAGGAGAAGTGGCGATGTTGAGACGGGAGTAGACAGAAGCCTGACGGAGGGAGGAGCGGATGAGGTTTGCGGTGACGGGCGACATGATGAGAAAAGGGAGGGGGGGAGGGGGGGTTAGTAAAGGGGGGGGGTTGAAGAGAGGGAGAAGCGTAGGAGGCCCGGAATTATTCGCACCGGGACGGGCCGCAGGGAACTCAGGAGTCAGGAGAGTCAGGAGCGTCAGGAGGAGGCGGAACGGACGGAAGGAGGGGCGGGGGGAACGAAGTCCGGCCGGTCCAGGTCAGAGGGCAGAGGAGTGGCAGAGCTTGGGATTCCCTCTGGAAAGCCGAGGAAGTTAGCCAATGGGATGATGACCGATACAGCGCACAGAGACAACAACAACAACAACAACAGCAACAGCAACAACAACACCTGAATGGTCCCCGGCGCGGTGGGATGACTATGGGGAGAATGGAGATGGTGCTTCTCCGGATCCTAGAGGCTGAAGCCCAGGACTCCAGACTCCAAAGTGGGCCACGGCAAGCTCGCAGTTGCGAAGTGCATTGCGGGTTCCGGGGCATCTCCGCTCTCAAGCCGACCAGGCGGACAGATCAACAGACAAGTGGACGGCCACCTTCTTGAACTGGCCGGCCGTCGTCACCGAAGGGACGAGCCTCAGCTGCGGGCCAAAGGAGCGCTAGAGGCTGACATGCAAGCAGGACAAGGGATTTGTGCTATGACATGGTAATGTAGGGGAATTGCTCTTCAAGACATAGATGGTACTGACTAGACTCTTGCAATGATAATCAAGTACCTCTGTACCGAGTATCGCCAGTTCGATAAGGTAGGTAGATATATAAGCTGGGCGGGTTCCTGGCGACGGCGCGACTAGGTCGACTAAGGATGCTCGACAGGGTCAGCTTGCTTCGGACGAGGCGACTGATGTCGGTGGCGGGGCGTTGCGCATGTGCAGATAGACAGACGTAGCGAGTGTGGTGTACACTACTCTGCGCAGTCGATCTGACAAATGCTAGCAACGGGACGCAGCGGGACGACGCTGACTTGAAGACGTCGACCGTACACGTACGCAGTTGTACGTAACGTCCGTTGCGCGTGGGGTACCTGCCTTCGTACGTTCTGTGATTTTTTGGTCGCGTGTAGCGGGGAGCAGTGGATGAACCGGCTGGCTCTGTGACTGACCGAGACTCTTTGACCGACTGGAAACTGCTGGCTTTGATGTCTTCACTTGGGATGGAGCGAAAAAAAAGTCTTTTGGATATTCTATCCAAGCAACTTGTGCCATCTCCGGCCATCGGACTCTCCAAATCGCATATAGGTAGATTCCTTGCACCTCCCCAGACTGCCCACCTCCGATATTGACTCTACCTGCTGCAAAAGCCTGCACTCTGCTGTGTGTTGGTACGGCCGCGAACCGGTATCAGGCCAGCGGCCGTGTAGCAGAATACACAATTACCAGTCTCTAGCGCGCGTATAGTATATGAGCAATTCGCCGTTATTACCACGTATTTGTAAAGCAAAAGCCTTGCACGCCTCAGAAAACTCTTTTCCGGCTCCTGGCTCGACGTTGAAAAGCGGGGAAACCGGGCCTCTGATGGAGGGGCACGCGCCGGTGTTGGAGGGGTTGGGCTGCCCCTCACTGGTTCGGCCGTCGTCGTCCCAAGTTGCCATCCAATAAGAACAGCGTGCGCACGCTCACAGGCGCAAGTCCTTCCAGTGTGTTGGGCAGGTAGTGTAGAGCAGGGGACCGGTTCGCATGCAACAGGCGGGCTATGCAACAGTGTAACCCCCACATTTGCGCACCCGAAAAGGCATGGTTTAGATGGTTGCCCAAGAAACCAAAGGCGTGTGGAGGAACTGTCCAGGGACAAATCATCACCATCATTGATCCCTTCGACCGTGAAACCGCGTGAAACAGCAATGTCCATGCCGCCGCCACCGCTTGCACCACTTTTCGCCAACACCAACGTCCAACACCACATTCTTTTGGCCTTCCTACGCAGTATATCCTATCGCAAGCTTGGCGGGCCCATCGCACCGCCTTCGGCCGGGGAAGAGTGCAGGAACATTGTGTCTTAGCAGAGCGGACCGCCGTCCATCAGACGGCTTTCCATTGGCTCAATGGTCACTCAGCCTGCAAGGAACACCGCCTTCGCCCTTCGGTTCCCATTTACACCGGGCGACCTTTGGTAGCGTATGTACACTACTGTGTGCCGGAACGGCTGCCATGGTCAGGCATATGGTTACAGGGGTGTATGGCTTCCGGATTCCGGATCATCTGGAACCAAGGACGACGACGACGACATCGATGAGGACAGGCTTATGCAGACTTCACCACAATACCAAAGTACCTAGAATCAACAGGCTTCAGCCTTGGGATACGCCGTCCTGTAGTTCCGGCTCATGCCATCATGTATTACCAATAAACAGGCACACAGGCCTTCACGGCCTCACGGCTCAGATTTCATAATGTGCCAGCGAATGGCGTAACACGGGGAGCGCTCGTCAATGTGGGGCCCTTGCTGGCTCAACGGAGATGATGGATCTGATAAAAACCACGCAAGGCCAGTAGGAGGCTACACTCACACGCTCACCGTACCGACTCGCTGCGGACTTGAGTCAGGTTCGAAGCAACATGTTCCGATATCGCCAACTGCCACTGGTAGGTTGTGGGTAGCCAATGCAGAGCCTTTTACGGTCGACAGGAGACCGTTTTCCAGATTTCTTGTTTTGAACAGGAAAGGCATCAGAGGAAGTTGGATGTCCGAGTCTCAATGCACAGGGCCTGGGGGTGGTTTTTGCTTTCAGTTCAGTTGTTTATAAAAGTTGGCGGTCGTTCTTTGACTCGAAATTCTTGGCGCAGGCTTCATCTACCGCACGCTACTGCGTGGAATTATGCCACATAAAGTGGACATAGTTCAGCCGGGCTGCCGGAGGAGCTTCGGACAACTCGGGACTCCTTCGCTAGTTTCGGAGATAAGCTACTCCAGACTCCAGACTGCGTAGGTAGGCACAGGGTATGGGCTGAAAGCACAACGCGTTGCCAAGCATCGATCTCAATTGTGTAATCGAAGGTCACGACCGCAACCATCAAGTCGTCTTCGTGCCATCATCTTCGGTCGACAAGGTTTCTTTCGGGATGTTCTGGATTGGATGTCTCACTTGTTTGTCTCGTTCTCGGCCTTTGTAGTGGCTATCTTGTAGAAGCCAAAGCGCACATGCATCTAGCATGTCGTGCCATAAGGTGCGATACGCGCCAGCTGCCTGTTGGTAGATGTATAGAAGTATCATCAGGCATACTTGCAACTCCCCAAGTCTACGCAATGCTTGCTGGAATGAAGAGAGGGCGGTGTCACATGGAGTGGTGAGGCAGAGTACCTCGAGGACTGACATTGCACAAGGCATATCGATAAGCTTGTCAATGGCCCAGCCTCCCGGTCCGCTTGGAGATTATAGCCTTGGACATCGATTGGAAGACTTCCACAATGGCCAGCGAACAGCACAATGGGAGGGCAATGTCGGAAGCCACCAGTGCCCGAAACGAGAGAGGCAGTTCCGTAAACCACAATGCCGGTCATATCCTGTGACAGCCATTCACCACAAGTTTCCCCTGAAATATGAAAGCAAACCGGAAGGCATAATTGAAGCGTGCTTCAACTGTTCAAAGGTGGATGACATTCACTGTCTTAGAGGGGCTTATGGTTTATGACCCGCATTTACCGAACGGACTGTTGAGGGACGGTTCGTTTAAGTCAGGTCTCTATACAAAAAGTTTCTTGGGTTCTCATTAGTTAGATCCGTAGTACGGCCCTACCCTTAGCTTGAGCGTCTTACTAAGCTAGCTTCTAATTAGTTAATTTAGGGATAGTATTTTTAATAGTCCGCGCTAGAATATACTAGGTCTTTCCTTTTTTGAGTAATAATTAGCTAATCGGTCTAGTAGACGGCTAGTAAATACCTAGTACTAACGCTATTAATCGGTCTAGTACCCGCACTAGCTAGCTGTTTACATTGCAACCCTCCCGCTATTTAACCTCGACTTTCAACCTTCTACTACTATTCAACCTCGATTTTCAACCTTCTACTAATAACGATACTAATATTATTACTATAATTCAATTTTAATACTTAGCTTACCGCTAAATAAATTATTGCAATGGTTATAAATATTTATTATTAGAACGTAGTAGTTTCCCTATCCGGTAAGCGACCGGTAAGCGATAAACGACTAGTAAATTAGTTCGCGCGGGGTATAAGAATTTCACTTCCCCTCTATTTCGAATTTTGAATTTTCTTTTCTATTTATTACTAACCTAAAATTCTACCTTCGAAAGAAAGGTAACGAAAACCCACGATTAAGTATTATTTTAAATTTAATAGTAAATATAGATTCCGATTTTCTAAATTGGTACTTCGCTTTGAATTTGTAGTATTAGCCCTCGTAAGACTATTAAAATTAATAATAAATTAAGTATTTTAGAATTAGTTGAGGTTTATATTTATAATGAAATAAATTATTATATTTTCAAATTCTAGAGCGACTTTAAACTTTAGAGCGACTAAATTATTTTGGTATGTATATAGATTATTAGATAGATTATCCTATTAATTATTAATTTATAATTCTATTTTCGAAAGAAAGGTAATAAAAACCTACAATTAAATATTACTTTGGATTTGATAGTAGATATAGATTCCAACTTTCTAAATCCTATTTATTAAATAAAATTAGTTTTTCCCTTTTTATTTATTTATTTACTATAATTAATTTATTATTATAAATACGGAAGATTTCCTTTTCTATTTAGGGGTTTCTATTTTCGATATTTCCTTCTATCTAAAGGTTTCTTTCCTTTTATTATTATAGATATACTTACTAAATATTATAAAATATATTATTAATGTAAGCCTAACCCTAAATTTATTAATAAACAAAATCTTATTAAGTTCGTATAAAATTATAAAGAATATTATAATAAATAAACGGAAGTAAATATCTATTAAGTCCCTATTTATTATTATCCTTAATATTCCTTTTATTAGTTAATTGGTATTATTGATTTAATAGTAAATCCTTTAAAATATATAAATCCTACTATAAACCTAATATATTGTATTAATCTATTATTTGCGGGTAAATAGTACCTTCGAAGGTTAAGATCCGAGCCGTGGGGGGTTGTAGGTACGATTCGGGTAGTATTGGTTAGTTTACTCCGAATAATTAATATTATTAATAAATTATATAGTATAAATAAAATACTATTGAGCGATCTCCTTCCAGGATATTACGGCCCGTTTAAAGACTTTAATAATAATTTTAACCTCAATTTCAATTTTAACTTCGAGGCCTTTCTTTATTAAGATTTTTATTACTTCGATTACTCTAACCCTATCTTTAGCCCCGTTAAATTATAGTTCTAATAATTCTAAATTAGTAGTTCTAACCCGCTAGGATAGCTGCCCATAAAAAAGAATTTAATAAGTTTCTAGAGTAGGAGCTATAGCTATTTCTACCTATAGTACTACCGATGGTACTACTAATAGTACTACTATAAATAATACCGCCTATATTAATACCGCAGTAAAGACCCCTAATACCGCCGGTCCCGGTACCGGTACTAGTACCGGTATTAATTGAATTAGTATAATAATTTCGAAGAATTATTAATATTAATAAATAGCTTTAAGATCGAGATTGTATTATACGTTTAATTATTCCTTTCTTTTTTGTAAGTAAGAATTCACAAGTATGTTTAATATAAAAATACTTTAAGTTATCTATATAATTAATTATACTTTATATAGGATTTTCCTAATATTATTGTAGCCCGCCGCTAAATTAATTAGATTTAGTATAATTATTATCGTTGTTATTATAACGGTTAATTAATTTTAGTTACTCCTTCTTTCGGTAATTAGAGACGATGTAATACTAGTATTTATAATAGGAATAATAATTAAGAAAATGATATTAATAATTAGGATGTTAATATAGATGATAATATAAATAATAATATAGGAGTTTATAATTCTAATATTAGTTAAAACCCCGGTTTAAATTCAGATTTAGATGATGATAATCTAGATGACGATTATTTCTTTTACCCTATATATAATATTGCCCGGGCTATAATAAATAAGTATATTGAGTTCGGGTTTTATAGGTATTATTAATTAGGTCTACTTTATAGGAATATTAATTTTAAGAATAAATTCTATTTATATTGCCGGAGAGTATTTGTACGTGGATTGTTTTTCAATTTTGATGATAGGGAAGAGTTTGAAATTTGCAATATATATTATAATTATAATCTTGCTCCTAAATTATTAGGACCCTAGCCTCTACTACTTTATTAATATTAGGGTCTATAATAGTAATTTAATGTATTGCCTAATCCTGAACCTATTTTCGAATAATTAGTATTACTATTTCCCCCCCAGCTTCGTTAATTCTTAAGATTTCCCGGCGTTGAATTTGAGTAGGATTTATTATATTAGCTTAAAAACCTTCTAGTAAGAGTTATTATTAATATTAATTATAATTTTATTAAGATCTTTGAGGTTGTATAGAAAGAGGATAATATAGAATAGTGTTTACGTTGTAAAGAAAGGTGGTTTGATATGTATATGACCGTCGGGTATTACTATTAATATTATAATTGTAATGATTGGAGGGTTCCTAATAATTTTGAATATTTTAATATTTAAAATAATTTAGATTTTAGCGATGTTTCCGACTTTTTATTACCCTTTAATTAAATTGAAGAATAGTTTATTGCCTGGGTTCATATCTTTATAGATATTTAGGTTATTAAAGGTTCCTAATATAAATATTCCGGCTATATTATTAATTTCCTTTATAATATTAGTTATATTTATTATTAATTACTTCGATTACCCCGGGAATTAAATATTATAATTCTTCAGCCTTATAGACTTTAAGATAAGCCTTGTATTATTCGGTAAATTAAATAAACTATAATAATTAATCCTATTAAGCTTTGTATTTGGCTTAATTATTTTAAGTAGTATTACCCTAGATATTAAAATATTAAGGTTATAGAGGTTTGTTTTGAAGAATTGGAAGTGCTTTTTAATAGTGATGTATATAATAAGTTGGCTGTTTATAAATTTAATTCCGATAATTTCCCGGATAATTAAAATTTTAATTTTAATAGAGAGGGGGATAGTAATAGTAAAGGAGAAGGTAATAGTAATGCCGGTAAAGAAGAAAATAATATTTTTGAATGAGAAGTTGCTACCCTTCTAAATTTTATTATTAATTAAATAAATATAAAGTAATTTTATTAATAATTATAAAGTGGAGGATAAGATATATTAAATGCTGTATTGGTTTAATTAGTATATAGTTAATCCGTCGGTTAATATCCTCTAGTTTAATTTTTTTTTAAACCCGGCCTATTATAGAACTATCTTATACGTAAATAGGATAGATCTTAGTTAATTCTATTATAGGTATTCCTTATATTCTATTTAAATAGGAAAATTAATTTTATTAAACTTCGTCTACAATTTATTAATCATACGGATTATATTTATTTATTATCTTATCACGCTAACTAGTTATACTAGTCTACCCAATGGGTATGCGGTACTGCTTCGTTCGTAGTCTAAGGGAAAAACCGTGTTGTTGAAATCCGGATGAAAACCCTCAGCTTCTCTATATCTAACCCTAACCCTACCCCGAACCCTTCGTCCTACCTTACTATAGGGGGCCCGGGGAGCCGTAGTTGCTTCTTTCGTCTTATTTTCTCTTAGTATATTATTTCTTTAATTCTAGTAGATTTAGTTACTTCTAATTAATCCTTTAAACCCTACTCCCTACCCAACGTTTTAGTAGTATTTTTATTCCGGAAGCGGGTATTCTTCTTTCATCCTATCTTTAGGGTAAGGGTAGGGAAGTAGGGTTTTACTTTCGTAATTAGAATCTTCGATTTTTTTTTTATTAAGATTAATAAAATAATATAATTAATTAATTATCGTATTACCGGACAGGTTCCATCCGAATAGAATTGTAGCTCTAAAATAAATTTCGGAGGTAGGGTTCTAATTCCTAAACCCTATTAGTAGAACGGGAGAGGCCGGCGCATCTTCGATTAGGATAAGATTTTTAATACGTGCCCAATTACGTATACCTAGGGTTTTAAATTAAAGTAGGCCCCTATATTTAATTTCGCTGTAAATACTCTTCTTCTAAGAGCGCTTAATAGAACAATAGCGGGGAAGATCTTTTATCCGATCCGGCCGAAAAACCGGATAAAAGAAGGGGGGGGAGCGGGATTCGAACCTACGACCTTTTAAATAAAATCAAAAGGGGGCCAAGCTCAAATCTTCCCAACTGAGCTATCCCCCCCACGGATTATATTAAATATATATTTAAATAGTATAATAGACGGTTTACTTAATATTATCGATTCCTATTCGTTATATTTAATATTTTAATATACTATAGCGGAAATATAGGGAGGTAATTTAACGTAGATGGGGCTCTCCGGGCTAGCCTTAGTACCTAGAGCAGTCTGGCAAACTGGACTAGACGATTTTATTTGGACTAAACGATTTTATTTAGATTAGACGCCTAAGTAGAGCCCCTAATTGGTTGGATTCCTAAGTCCGGGTTCCTAGTACTTAAATTATTAGAAAATATATTGGAGCGTTCGTTAGAACCGCCGGTCGGGTGCGGGCCTATAATAACACGAGTATACGGACTATATATATAGATAGGAGGCGGCCCGTCACGTTTATAATTATACGTATAGTAGGTACTTAGGTATATTTTATTTAGTAATTTATATTCCGTCCGAACCCCGAACTCCGACCCTAACCCCAATTCTAATTTACAACCCCAATCCCGCGTACGTACTACGCTAGCGGTTACACTTCTAAACTACGCTCTTAATTTACACCCGCGGCTACACTTCTATATACAGACTATACTAACAATTACACTTCTAAATTACACGTTAATCTAATAGCGCGGCTACGGCTACAATATAAATAATATTACACTTTTAATTACGCTACCCCTAATTTAACGCGGCTATATATTATATAATTATATACTAGATTAAATATCTATATTAGCGTACGAATATTCATTGTACGGTTGCGTATTGGATGAAATACCTACGCCGCACGGTCGTATATACTATATAGTTATATACCTACTGGATTAAATGCCCGCCGTTATATTAATTAATATATATTAAAATTAATATTTATTATTTTTATTAATTATTTACTATATATAGAGAAGAAGGTAGTAAAGAAAGTTAGTTATTATAAATATATATTATAAGAATATAAATAAAGGCGATGAGATTGAAATGAGAAATAAATAAAATAGAAAGAAATTAATTAATTAAAACTATTAAAAAAAATTATCGTATAGTATATTAGGTAGTACATTATATATTTGAACCGCCTCGCTATTCCTATACCTGGGGTTAATATATATTAGTACGCGACTATATATTTTATTGTAATTGGGTAAAGCGGATAGAAATAATTTGCTAATAGCTAGGTAGAGCGAGTATATCGATATGTACAACGGCTATCCGCTCCGGATAATATTGTATTGAAGATTGCTCTTATATATACTATTAATATATAATCTCCTTATTAATACCTGAGGATTTACGGCAGTCGGTTATTCAAGTACGGATGAAGAAGAGTATAATTATATTTGTATCGTTATTATATATTATATTATTATCGCCCGCCGTTGGTTATATATAAGCAATTAAATTAATATAATATAATTATTCGATAAAGGAATTTACGGATGTAAATTTATATATTTAGTAACTCTCTAATATATATTTATAAATATTACTATAGCCTAGGAATTCGAAGCGAAATATAAGTAATATAGTCGATATATATTGATTTTATAGTAGTCGGATATTACTAGGCTGTAAGCGTTATTATTGTTAGAGCGTATATATATTCTAATTTATTGTAACTATTCCTATTCCTTTTATACGAATTATATATAAATAAATAGGGCGGATTATTGAAATACTAATAATAATAAGCTTATTTAGGATCTCCTCTACAATTTCGAAATTTAAAAATAATTGCCTAACTTTAATATATTTAATTAGTATAATAAGGGTGAAGATGTGTCTAATTTTATAGTAGTTTATAATAAATATATAATTAATTTAGTTAATTTAATATTTATTGTAATTTTTGCTATAGTAGCAGTAAATAAATTTAATATAATTATTACAATTGAATTTGAACTAGTAATTGGAAGTATTATAATAGAAGGCGTCCGTAAATAAAATTTGTTAGTATATTATTAATTTAATTTATACCGTTAACTATACTTTCTATATAGTGGTAAGTAACTATATATACTATTATTAAATCACTATTATTCTAAAAAGAAATTACAATATATCACTATTAATTAATTATTATATATTATATACACTATTAAATAGATATTAGAATGTTTAGTATTAGTAGATGTGTTTAATTGTAGAATTATAATAGGGTTGCGGTATGTAATATGCGAAGTATATAAATGTAGGAAAATAGTAGGGGTAATTTCAATATATTTTGTATACGATTTTAGTATATATAAATATAGGATTTTTATATAGATAGTATTCGATAGTACGTAGGTATATTATTATCGAAGTATCTCTTATTTATATAGTATTAATTAATATAATAGATAATATATTTGGATTAATAAAATTATAATAGTAGAAGGTATAAATAATAATTAAAGTGAAAAATATAGTAAAATGTATATTAGTATTAAGTATAATTGTTAAATATTAATAGAGGTATTATAATTACTAAAATAGGTAGTATATACCTATCTGTAAAGGCTAATTTCCTTAAGAACTGGATCTTCCTATATTTATTAAATATTAGTAGGTAATTGGGTAGCGTATTATAATTGTATTGGTAGGTATGTTGTAGTAGTTTGGTTTATATGGTTGTTATATATTCGATTATAGCGAAGTATAGTAGCCGCTCACCTTCGTTGGCGATATGTATAATAATTTTAAACTCTTTTACTAGAATACCGTTAATAGCGGCTAACGATAGGTAATTCGGGTTAACTTAAAGTATATTAAAATTATATTCTAGTTTTTCTTCCTTATTATATATTTTATTATAGTCCGAATATAATAGGGTCCTATTAAATAGAATTGGGTATTTATAATATAGTTCCGCTATTTATATAGTTAGTTCGGGATTGGCATTTTCGTAGGTATTAAGAAGGATAAGGTATATTGTCTTTTAGAAGTTTATTTTTATTAATAATACCTTTTCAATATTAGAGTAATTAGTTTTATATATTCTCTTTTTAAAATATTTATTTAAATGAAATTATTAATAAAAAGAGTTTGAGAATACAATAAATAATAATATTTAAATATTGCCGTTCCTATATATACCGTTTATACCCATTATAATTTTAATATATTTATATATATTAGTTACGTAATAGTACGATGCGATTTCTATAAATTTTATAGAATCTGCTATTGTACCTTTTTAGTTACTCCTTCCTTTATTGTATTTAGTTATTATATAGTATTTAATTTACCAGTATATATCCTTACTTGTTAGCGTATTATAATTTACTAGTAACTTGTATTCCTTTGTGAATGTCTTATAGTATATTACGATATATATATTCGGTTGAAAAATTATATTACTTTATTCCGATTTCCTATTTTAGGCGTTATTTTCTAATCCGGTTTGAGATAGTAGTATTGGTATAGGAGTGTCGTTAGGTGGGGTTTCTACGCCCGATATAAATATAGACCCGGATATACTATATATAAATATATAAAATTAGTTAAATAAGTAACGAGTTTTATAAATTATTTCGGATAATTGGCGATAGTTGTATTTCGATACTTTAGTGCCTATTAATAATATTATACTTTTAACTAGTTTTACTATTATTTTAATAATTAATTCTATTAGGTCTTTGCTGTTAGTTTCTATTTTTATTTATATATAGAACTTTTAATTTAAGTAGCTTCTTTTTAATTAGTGTAATAGTAATGTGGGAATAATAATTAGCTATTTACTATAATTATTTATTTTATAATTCTTAAAATGCTTGTATAGGGATTATAAATGTCCCTATCCGGGTGGGAATAACTATATTTATAATTGTATAATATACTATACCCTTGCTGCTAGGGTTAAGAGAATAAAGTAAAATAGTAGATAAACTATATATATAATATTATTAAATTCTGAGTGTACTATATTGGGAGGGCGGCTTATTATAATATTAAATGTTAGTAATAGTCGAATTAATATAGGAAATAGATTGGAAATTCCTTATTGGGTACTATATTGCTTAATATTGCTAGCGTTTAGTAATATTATATATTATTATATTTCTATAATTTGTAAATAGTAATGATTATAATAAATAATATTAAAGTTGATTTGTACGTTTGGATCAATAGGGGAAATGCGTTTCCTAGCATTTTTTGAAAATGTGAAATAATATTAATAAAATTTAGTACTGCGTAGATTTTTGAATCCCGAATTTTCGGTTTATTATAATATATTACTAGTATAGTAGATGGGAAATATATATAGCCTAATTTTATTATTTTTAGAATCGATGGTTTTTTTAGGCAAATTTATAATTATCCCTTTATTTAAATGTGTTATTATTATTAATATTTTAATAATATCGTTGAAATTAGAATTATAAGGTCTAAGTAGTAGAGGAAAGACGTTGCCGGGTTTTATGTGTTCTTCTATTGATAAGTCCGCCGGGGTAAAATAATATCCTATTAATATACGGTAGGAATTATAGAAAATATTAAATTTATTAATAAAATCAATATAAGGAAATGATATTACTAGTAGATATTCTTCGCGTACTTAGTCCTATTTATATTCGAATACTTTATAAGAAAATTAGTTAAGCTCTAGTTCGGCCCGAGTGGGGTGTGTGTAGCATATAGGTATAATATTGCGATTTGTCCCTACTATTATTCGCTAAATTATATAGAAATGTGTGCTTTTATTCTATAGGCTTTATATTAGCTAGTTGTATTTGGGGAATAGTGTTTATTATTGTTTTTATCTTGCATTTAGTTACAGTTTAATTGTAAAGCCGGGATTATAGTGATCTTCGTTAAAAGAATAATTTATATATATTTTTGTAATAATATGTATATATATTTTCGTTTCGGGGATATATATGAATTTATCGGTTAAAATAAGCTCTTTAGCTTTTTGTTTAGGTATAATACTATTAATTATAGCGAGGGTAGTAGTGTTGCGTTTATAGGCTTCTTAAATATATAAATAGAGTCGGTTATAGTTTAGAGTATATATTTTTTTTACTTAATGGTTAAACTTGATAATATATATACAATTAATATATACTTTAGTATAAATAGCCTCGTTTGGTACGTTATTGTATATTAATAGATAATGATCCGGTATTTTAATATAGCGGTAGTAAATCTAATTGTATAGAAAAATAATAGGACCCTTTGTGTTAACGTTATTTAGAATAATATATATATATTATCTAGATGTAGTGTGTACCGACAATAGTTAAGCGTTAGATTCGAAAAATTTGTAGGAATTATCGATAAAATAATTTAGGTTAGAGTGGGTTTGCCTATTAAGATTGGAAATTACAATGTTTTTAAATAGTATAGGTAGATTAAAAAAGGTTAGAAGTATAATAATAATTAGTAAGGGGTTTGCAGTATTTTTATCCCGTTCGTTTATTAATTAGAATTCTATATTTAATTGAGTTAGTTCTATTGTCGAATTAGCCTTTAATTTCTCTAATCTTGCTTTTATACGGTCTACGGCTAATATTAATTTTTAGAATTCTTTAATAGTCCTTATATATCGCTTAATACGATTTTCTGTTTTCTTCGCTATTGTAGTAGCCTTTTTTAATTCTTACTATATATAAAATATTTCGATTTTTCGGCGTTTACTGTTTTTAATATTGGCTAGTAAAGTTAGTAGTTTTACGATATCTAACGGGATATTGGCCTCTTATATATATATTATCGGCAGTCGATTTTGTATCCGGTTTAATAATATTGATTTTTATAATAGTAATAACCTTATTAGTTTAGGGATATTATTAACTTCGTTACGTAGTAGAAATAGGGCTTTTCGTAGGGCCTTTTAATTTTTTCGATTAAGTTTAATTAAATTAATAAATATTACTAATATTATTTTGAATGTAGTTATTTAGACGGATTTATTTTATTATAATAGTACGAGAATCAATATATTATCCTCGTTATATAGGTATATATAGCTTAGATAGCCCTCTTCTTCCGGTATATTAATTTTATTAAAAGGTTCGGATTTAATTATAACGATAATGTCCTTGTAGTTGTTGGTACTTAATATATTGTTAAGTAATATGTTGGATTGTATTATTTGGGCTATAGTATCCTTGAGGTTATTAATTCAAAGTTTATTAGTATTAATAAGAGTTAAATTTCTATTAGTATACTTTATTAACCGAAGGGGAAGATTCGAATTTATTATTATTATTATTAGACTTTAATTCCGTTTCTTACTCTTAATTATTTACCGGCGACGGCGGTTTATTCGACCTACCTATCTATTCGATACTTTATATTATATTATTACCCTCCTCAATTTATTCTTCGATTATAAAATTAATATTATTAAAATAATTATAAGGAGAGGATACAGGGTTAGTTATTATAATATTTTAGTTATATTACTATTATTCGTCGTTATTGTTTTCCTATTGGGGCAAGTCTTAGATTTCCTTTGGGTTTAGATTGCGGTAATATTTTCTACTAAGTAGGCAAGGCTTACGCTTTAGAAGATCTCCCTACTTCCCTATTTCGAATTAATACAACGTAACGATATTATAGATTTCGATTAATACTTGTAAATAATTAGATAGTTTAAATTTTAAATAATTAAAGGTTAGTATATTTAAATAGTCTGAACAATCGGTCCGTACTAAAGGTGGTAGACTTACGTACAATTATTTTATATTTACTATTTACTTTTACCATTGCGAATTATTAAAATAAATACAATAAAATAAAACGGAATATAATTCTAAGGTAGTAGACTCTTTATATACCCTCTACCTACCAATACTATTCATTAAATTAAACAGTATTTACTAAAACAATATATAAACCGCGCCTACTTCTATAATAAAATCTCTATTAATTACGCAAAATTAAATTTATTTATTTCCTATTTCTATTTCCCTATTCCTTTTTTTCTAAAAGTATTTATTATTAATAATAATTCGCAAATACCTTAATTTTCGTTAATATGGCGGATGACGAAGGTATCCCGCCGCTTTTATTGTATATTATAGGTAGTATAGCTAATAAATATAAATATTAAGAGAGCGCGACGATGAATATAAATTACTAATTTATTATTATAATACGGTTTAATATAAACTATTTAACCCTATTACAGTATGTCTAAGCATATAATATCTCGCAATCCCTTAGAGTTCAACAACCGTAGCCGTCCGATACAATATATAAGACTCTTATATTTGCACTATCGAATTAGTTATTTACTGAAGGTAATACCTCTATTCCCGGCTTTAGTATTAGCGTTATTACGTTTAGCGGAAGAGTATTAAGACGATATAGATAATTATTACTCTACACCCCAATTGAATTAATACAGTATAAGCCTATTGTATTGGGTTTAATTCTATACAGTAATAAAAAGAAGTATACTATTAAATATATCTTAATTTTTTAAATATTTAGTACTATTCCTGCTTATATTTAATATTAATATGTAATAGTGAATTCTAAGAAGCCTACCCCGGCGTATTTCGCTTACTTAAGCGATTTAGCTTCCTTAAGATTGTAAATTTCGATTTTCGTATAATAAATATTAAGTAGAAGTCCGATTCAATTCGTTTATTAGACAACGAATTGAATAAGATAAAGAATTGTATTAATCTTTTTAATTAAAAGATTTTCTTTATATTTTATTCGAATATATTATTTGTATACGTTACTTATATTGTTTTTTTTGATGTTTTAATAATAAACGAGATTTTTCTTAGTCTATATATTTATATAATAGAACGGTTCGGTATATATAAGTAAGAGATATTATAGAATTAATTCTATAAAATAGTTATTAGCTGGGTTAGGGATTTCAAAATAGACTTTCAATTTTATATTAATTATACCGACTTTAATAAGAATGGATATTTCTACGATTATAATATTAAATATATTAAGAAGTAGGTATATATCCGGTTAGACGAGTCGTTATTTTCCTACTTCTTTTCTTTTATTATACTTTATTTAGATTGGGAATAGAATTTTACGGATCGAAGCTCCCTTCGATTTTTTTTCTTTAAGAAAGTATATATTGAAACGCTGTACGAGGTAGCCTAAGTCTATATATTTGAATAGAGGAATATAATTAAGTATAGCCGTAGGAGTATTAAATTCGTATATAAATTATTTAATTGGTTGAAGTTAAAGGATTTTTATATAAAGGTTTCGTTTATATTCGAAAATATATCCGTTTACCCTAACTTTTATAAAGTTGAATTGAATATATTTATTTAGCGCGAAAATGTGCTTCTTTTAATACTAACTATCGAGGTTTAATTTAACCCTACTGTATTCTAGGAGTAATATGGTATATTACACTCCCCTCCTCCCGAGGCATCTTTTTTATTAAGTAATAGTAGTTCTCCGGATATAGTACCTATGGGAAGCGGTATATATTTGAATATTATAATAAATATTATTAAAAATAATATTTATAGAGTATTAAATAACGACGAAGTTAGAGGTATCGATATTCTAAATCCTTTTAATAACGAAATATTTATTTAATAGGATAAACCTTAATTATCTAAGCGAGTACGCTTTAAGTTATTGATTCCGGACCCCCCGCTATTAGAGTCGTTCGGGAAAAAGCGACTTTTAAAAATATTATTATCGCATTTATTGGTTATATTGAAGGATTAGTATAGTGCAATTATAGTTTAATTTAATAAGTAAATAATAAATCCTAAAATAAGGCTATAAAGGATTATATTGTTTAAGTATATTAAAGTACTTCGAAATACATCCTACAATTTCGACGATTTCTTTATGGGGTTGAAGTGCTATGTATAGTATTTGAAGAATATTCCTTTTAAACCTCCGCCGTCCAGAAAGACGATAGAATTTCTACCGGTTAAATTAATAACAATTATATTAATCCCAGTTCTAATATTCCTACTACCGAAGTTTAAGATTATTCTCGCTCCCGGTATTAAATTTATTAAAGTAATTAAGGAAATTCTAATACCTCCTCCTAGTATTGGATTATATAAATTAAAAGCGACCCCAGCTACCGAACTTCCTATCGCCGATAAACCTATTGCCAATAAACTTATCGCCAATAAACCTATTACCGACAAACCTATCGCCAACAAACCTATTGCCGATAAACTCCCGCGTATCTTTATCCCATCAGTAAAAACTTTAAAAAATCGAGCTATTTTTAATAAAATTATAGTAGATATTAATATTATTAAAAAGTTTTTATTTGAGTATAATCGATATATATAATTATAAGATGTAATCGATTTTATTAATAAATAAAATTAAAATTCTATTAATTAGATAATATAGGGAAAAAATATTTTAGAATTCTTTAAGGAACTATAAAAATTAACAATCCTATACGTTAAGACCGAAGATAATTAAAAATAGTACAATAAATTGTAATAAAAGTTGATGGAAGTTAGGTAATGTTTCTTAAGGGATTTAAAGGAGGAAAATAGAATTAATAAATTTATATTTTAATAAATCAAAGTTAATAGAAATAATTGGTTTATATTTACT